TAACCTTAAAAATCATTGCTTCAGACTAACCTACAACACTCAACTTTAGACTGAATATTGTGTGATAAATTATCAATCTATATATTTCTTACCAAATTTCTTAGTCCTACAAAAGTGCTACAACTTCGGATTTTCACCTGACTTCAATGAAGGCTAGAGAAAGGGCTTAGAAACTATATTATGGCCTAAATTGGAATCTAAGTACGTCACACAAAGCCTCCTGCAAGACAGATACAAGGTTGGTGCACTGCTGACGGATTAGCACTTGCATAAATGCCCATTTGTATATGTTTTCCTACATTTTGAATTCAAGTTAAAATTAAGGTAACACAAGTCAATTGCTTGTAATAAGCTTTTCAGCCAATGACAAAGTCCTAGGCTGTATTATTATGAATTTCAATGTATTTCTCTAAGCTCATAGAGTCCTGCTAGTGCAACTCAATAAAATAAAAGTGGTGCTATAGTTGACGTATACAAGATTATCCTAGAAAGTTATGCGGACCAATAGAAATCAACACGATATAAATTCAGGATATGAATACAGCCGTACCATGACATACAGTTCATCATTAGCCTCTTTTACATAAATTAATCATATGAGCAATACCAGGAATCCAGCGCTGATTACGTAGCAATGACTGTGAAATTGAAGAGCTACATACAATCATGACATAACACACTGTGGATAATTCTAATAGTCTCTGACCTGATCCAATGCGCCATTTCTTTCCCCCACACTAACTGTAAGTAAGTAATAATGGCACACAAGAAAATAAATGTGCTAAACATCAAAGGTCATATAGTATTAGTATTATACTGTGGTGGGAGGTTTTTAAAGCTCTTTGTTAGAGTTATAGTGTCCTATTTCAACGGCCATATAACTGTATGATAGCATAGTAGTTAAATGAGTAGAAAGAGGGGGTAAATGGGGTATTATGTGATAAAACTGCGATTTTCTGACGATGGTAAAAGACGATTATGCAATGAAAGTAAATTTGGTGATGCGAGAGACTGCCATTGGTTTAAGACAAACATTTATCTGACTTCTCTAATATTACATCTCAACCCTGTATCATCCCACTCAGGCATAAATATCGGTTAATAAGCGCGAAATAAGATTTATGAACGACGAAATACTCACTCCATTCTGCCGTTCTCGGGCTCCGGCGAAGTAACAGCTGATTTTTGTTTACGTTCCCAGAAGCGTTCGCATACGCATCTGGATTCATGTATGCTTTGAATGCGTTCGTATGCATTGACAAGTACTGGATGATAACATTTATTAAGGTGTTTATAGGGGAGGTAATGGCTAATCACCAATAAACGTAATGTGAAAAACAAAAATATAATATTTTTGAAGCGCTTGACACGAATGGTCGTCATATATATGAAGTGATAATACTTAGGGACTGAATATCTGGGAAGGAAGCAATTTTCTCTTGATATTTAGTTTCTTTTGATTTATATGTTTGAAAATTTTATCATAACATGTGGTTTGTAAATAAGTTCATCTAAATGAACATAGCAAGTTTGTCTGTTAAAAAAAAAAAAAAAAAACATACCATCAGACCTATATGTGTATATCTTAAGTGTTATATGTGTCAAAAAAAAAGTCATGCC